GCCAAGCCCTAATCGGGATGCAGGGGGGGGGAGGGGGGGGGCAGCCCTGAACCTGCTGCACAGGCAATGGCCTGGGCAAGGCTGGATCCTGCCATGTAGACCTTCCACTGCTCCTTGTTGCCAAGTGTTCTGAACTGTGGGGATCCCTATGGGCTGGATGTCATGTCTCTGGACCAGATTTGACCTATAAGCACGCCTGCTCTAGAATGACATACACCTTATACAATACCTTTCCTGATATCTACCATTTATTGGGTTAGAGATTCCAGAGGCAACCTCTCCAATCATTCTGTTCAATAGCCATTAATAGATCTACCATCCTTAAATGTATTCACTCCCTTTTTGAACCTGGCTATGCTATCTGCCCCCACCTCCTGCAACAATGAATACCACAAGTTAACTACATATTGCATAAAACGTACTTTCTCTTGTTAGTTTCAAACCTGTTACCTACTAATTTTAGCAGGTAACCTCTAGTTCTAGTGTTCTTGGTAAACAATAGTTCCATGTTCACTTGGCCCACACCCTTTATGATTTTATAGACCTCTAACATATCCATCCCTCAGTCTTCTCCTTTCCAAGACTTCTATCATACCCTCCCTCAGCTGAGATAGTTGGCAAATCTGAAAGTTTATTGCATTTTATAAGATAGAACTCCCAAAAGCTATAAAATGAAAAGCACAGGTCAGCCAAGGACGCAGTTACTACTTCCTTTTGCTGGAAAGGAAGGAAAACCTACTTTGTCTTTGTTGTGAAACCTGTTTATGCACCAAGGTGTAATGCTCTACTTGAACTAGCTGCACCGAAACTAGCTCCATTCTATGCCCCAGAAAAGTGGAAGCACCCAAAGATCAACCATATCTTCCACAATCATTGCAAATGATTAGCTGGTCAGTTCTCAGTTAAGCCTAGAGCAGTTAAGGTGATCAGATTTTCAGAACAAACAAACAAGGACACCTGCCATTAACAGTGCCTACAAAGATGAAGGCATGAAAGTAACAGTTATGGTAAACATCAGGGAGCACCCCTGGAAAGGAATACATACAAAAGAGCTAAGTCTCTTTTGGCAAACAACCCTCCCCCTCCCTTCTTTTTTTTTTTTTTTTTTTTTTTTTTTTTTTTTTTTTTTTTTTTT